ATATAGATTTATGTAGTTTCATAGATATATATCTCAAATTATTTGGCAGAATAAAGCATTCGCTGGAGAATTTTGAATAATTCCTGGTGGCTCACTTGCGAGAGTCTTATTTTAGTAGTTAGCCAAACTAACGAAAGTAATAATAATGCGTGCTGTCAAAACATTATAAACACTTCAGCATCAAAAAAGGATTAGTAACCAAACGGTAGAAAACAGTATTTTGGGAGTATTTTTGGCAATAAAAAGCACAAAACTTTTATGAGGTCTAAGCAAAGCAGTAAGGATGCTCCTCCATGAATCTCAGTGTGCTATTTGCCGAGAATATATGAGCCGGCAGTAGATCCTGTGCATCCTATTATTAAATACTGTTTTACGATTATTGGCCGATATTAGCAATTCGTATAAAAGTATTCGTATAAAAGTAAAGAATGGTCAGATTTGGTCAGAAATTGACTTGATGGTTTATTAACATATGTAAATAGAATAGGCAAAGAATGAAAGATTTCTTTTTTCCTAGTCGGAATCACCAGTCTGAAATAATAAATTTAGAAAATACATCGCATTTCGCGACGATTTGATTTATGGAGTGATACAATAGATGCTGGGTAAAGATAAAAATTGGTAAAAAATCAGTCCACGGATTCCTTTTCGATTGTTATAGTGATTTAGTCAAATCTGCGCAATGCTCGGGATTCATATGCTTCCTTCGAATAAGTCTGCTAGCAAAAGGATGAAGAATAATTATTTGGAAAACACTTGAAAAAAGTCGGAATTACTTGAACTTCTGTGGACATTCTATCATTATTAATTGCTTAATCTCTCATGGACCTCTACATATTTCTCAAATCAGCCTTGTTTTGTTTTGTTGGTAAACATGGCAAGAAAATAGCATTATTAAATTCACCATTTCGCAATTATGAAATTTTCAAAGAAAATAATAAAACATATCTAGAAAAAAGAATAGAATCATCTGTTACATTCTTTTCACAAAAATACCCATTTAAACTTATTGCAGAAAAACGGCAATGATGTTGAAGGGTTGAAACGCAATTTATGTGAAATTATAATTTTTCTTAAAAATTAAAAATGCCTTTAATTTTAATTGGTGCTCGAGAGGGTCCATGCAGGAATTTTTCAAGGGCACTTTGCACTAGCATTCCAGATTTTACTTTACGATTTCACCCACAGACTTGCGATCTTTGTCATTTACCTGGTGCTGCAAATATGTGTTCGGATAGTATCGATGTTTTGGTGCCACTGGGTATTAGTACCAACGACAAACTAAAGAACATGTGCCTGAGATTATGCTATTCATACGTCTGTTTATCAAGTAATTTTTGGAAATTTTTTACAGATTATTTGAAAAATTAGAAATAAAAGAATTGAAATTACATAGAATATATATAAAAACTAATGTTTCATGGATTTTAACAACAATTTTATCACCTCGGACACAAAACTGTAAGGACGAACGACAAGGCTATACTGCAATTAGAGCGTCGATTAACTGTGGCGGTGTTAATAATAATTTCTTATTATTTCAAACTACAGTGATGCAGCAATGCGCACGAACGTGTGGTTATTGCACATAGTCAGTGAATGACGTTCACTTCTCATAAATTTAAATTCTTATTTATTGCTATTATTAATGAAATAATGAGAAAAAATTTTTTATAAAATTCAATATATAAGTAAAACACGATAAAAACATAAGAATTCAGCTAAAACACGGCGAAAAATCTGTTTTGAACAATTTTGAAATAAAAAAATAACGAATAGAGAAGTATATAAAATAAAAAGTAGTAAAAAAAATATGAAAAAAAATGAAAACAAACAAATTAAATAAAAAGAAAGTTTAAAATTTCTAAATCAATTTATAAATCAATTTCTTAAAAAATTTTTAAATATTTCTACAATGTAATATTCATTATATAATATAATCAAAAAACATTTTAAATATTATAAATAAATATAAATAAATATTTAAACATGTTTTCATCCCAAATATTTTTAAAATCCGCTGGTAAAATTTCATCATAAAATTACAAATATTAAGATTAGCACAATTGATTATAACTAACGTAACATTCCCTTTTTCCATTCCATCATTGTGAATGTAATTAATTATTCAACTATCGCTCAACGAGCTTGCGAGGCTTACAGAATTTCGTATTTCGTTACTAATATAGTGGATTGTTTTGAAAAATGTCAACTGTTCTTTATAAGCGCTTTATTAGGCAAATGATCTGCAAAAAAATTTATAATTTCATTATAATCCATAATTTGAGAAAAATTTTTATAAAGTGGAACATAAAGCAAAGATTGGGACGGGCACTCGTTTATGTCGGTAAAATACGAAGAATGAATGAACATCATCATAGTAGTGCATCAATTGCTTTTACCCTTGGTCACAAATGCTAAAAGGTTTTGCATTAAGCGAGTAAGCGAACCACGCATTGCAAGTTAGAAGATGTCAGCACAGCCTTATTTGGCATTAAGCGCATATCATATCAATATCATTATCAGTCAACTAGGAATAAATTAGTACATTTCTTTTTCCTTTTCAGATTATTGTACTTTCATATTCTCACAAATAAAATGATTCTTATCGTCCTTTCGACGCAATTTGCATTACAATTTTGTCTAATATGAAGAAAGAAATGATAAAAATGGCATTATTTACTGCAGCACGTGGTCGTTCACATGAAACTTTTAATATTTACTTTTTTCTCCTCTAATTCCTTTTAATCGAAGATTTATGCAGACAACTGTAAATATTACAAGGATGGACAGAAGCAGAATATAGCATATAAACACACCAACATAGGCACAAATAGACCGTTCACCTAATTTTTATTAGGATACCCCGAGTATTTGCGAATTGCCAATGTCGGCAAATAATCTATTTAATTACAGTCTCGCGAACGCTCGGCAGGGATGAAATTAAGATTCGGCATGCTTGTGGAGGAGCATCCGGTGCACTCGTGGAGACATCGACGCTGTCTTACATGGACCCTCTCATAAAAGTTTTGTGTCATTTTTTATTTTTTCCCGGCGCTATTTGATATTTATCCAGCGATTTTCCCAAAATATTACAATATTCGATCTTTTCCATTTATAAAAAAAATATCTAAAATTTAAATTAATTATTTATTAATAATCAATGTAAGAAATAAACCCTGTTTTCGTTAAATTTCTTCAATTATTCACTAATGAATGCAAAGCGAATCTCAGCAATGCCTTAGGCATAAATATTGTTAACGTGATTGTTTCCATTGCCACCAGTGTTGTTTACTTGTTTTTCATAAAAACAAACTAAATACCACGCACATTGTTTATTTTTTAATGCTCTTTTCAGGGAGACTAAATTAAAGTCGACCTTCTTTTAAGAAGTTGGCCAAACGGTTATAAGCACAACAATGGATATGGATTCTATTGTGAAGCGCTCAAGTATGTATGCAGCTTGCAGGAATAGCTTCAAAAAATTGTTTCGGAACCAACAAAGATCCAATTTTTAAAAGAATTGTTTTTTTAAAAAAATTATCTTCATCAGTTAGCAGATGCCTGCAAATACTTTGAAGTGCTGTACCAGAAAATTTTCAAACAATATAGGATGGCATTGCTACATGCATAAATTGCCACATAAATTTAAAAAAATGGCTTTGCTATCATCAGTGATGGCATCAGACAAAGGAGATTCCAGTCTTCGTATTTACTACATGTTTATGGTATGGATTTCATTTATTCCCATTGAACTGGTTCATCAAGCAACTAC